ATATGAATGTTATGACGACGCGGTAGGAGGGCATGTATCAGTTGCTACAACAATTTCAAAGTATTTGAAAATAAAACTACCTACTATTGACCTAGACGTGATCAAGTATGTAAGGAAAGCTGACGGAAAATTTTAATACAAAATCTTATGGTACTGTCCTTTTTACTAACACAATGTTAAAAAAGCGAAAAATTAGGTGCTAGGGATTCTACGACGGAAACCTTGCAAGCAGCTAAAACGCAGTTGCGGAAGGTCCCTCTGTAAAAATTTTGTCTCGCTTTGCAGAATATGCACTTTTATTCTCGTTCCATACTGTGCTATGTTGGTATATGACATGATGCATTTCAGGTGCTTTGAAACCCTTTTTCCCCACTTTCGCATACTCTATGCCCTAAGGTATGATTTGGTAAGTTTGGGCCCATAGAGAGTCTAGGTAAGTGGAGATTTAAACTTGTAACATTTAAATCGATTTTCAACCTGAAGATGTGTTTCTATCGAGCCAACCACAAACTTATAAATCAAAGGGTGCTTGACGTAAAGTGTTACTATTGGCAATGTGGTGTGTGTAAATTGAATACAAAATTGAAGGTTTTCACTGAGTGATCAACAGGTTTTCATAAAACTCGTGCCATTAAAATTGGTATGGACAGATTTGTAATTTCCGCTCTGAAATTAAATGAATTTCTCTGGTGATGCGGAATACTTTACAAGGGAATAACAGGAAAAGTCGAGAGAAAATCTAATTATTACGCATCAGAGGATTTATAGAATTTTGTAATACCTTAATTGATTTAATCCCAGAGGAATTATTAGATATTTAGATTTTAGTACAAGCGAAACGGGAATGAGCTTTAATAGCAAGAGTACCTAAGCATATACGTTTGGCCTCATATAATATGTCGGACGTTTCTTAGAACTAGGTCAGCTACGGTTAATATTTTATCTCCAGCTATTTCACCTTGGACACATTCAACTTTTGAAATATATTTTGTACCGTCTAGCCGGACTAAATGGTTTTGTATCACGCGCAACATTAAACAATGAAAAAACGGTCCTCACGCTAAATTGCCATTACAAGTTTCCATTCACTATTAATTGACTTTCAAAGAGCAGAATTTTTCGATGAATGTGTCACGAAAAGGCGAATAGATTTACTTCAACGTGAAATAGAATACAAAGAGTAAAATTAATGAAGTCTGATAGATATTAAATTCGTCTTTTAAACAAAACGAGATGTATACAAAGCAATTGCTATGAAAATTGCCACCACAATCACCTAAAACACTTGTCTCGGATCATTTTTCATCTTAGTCAATGCAATAGAGCCTTTGCAAGACCACCAGGAATTCGGAATTGTCAGGTTTTTGTTAGCTCCACAAGTCATGAAAACATAATGCTCTTTGTAAATACAAAATACTCCGTACCCACTACCAACAACACCATGAATACGCTGGCGTTGTAGTGCCATGCGTGCCTTACCTTAGAATAATAACTAAATCTAAAGCTTTAACTAAATATTATGATTTTAGAGGAGTGACAAACGGTTGTTGTTGGCAGAATTATTAATTAACTAAGGAGTTTCGTACGACTCTGTGCGTGAGATTTGTGTAAGCTTTTGTGCTTTTGGTTAACTAATTATTATCAATTACGAGTTTCGAAATGAAATTACTTTTATTGGCCCTAGGCTACACAAACTGCTATCCCAATTTTGTTGCAAGAAATGAAATGACAAAGGAAAGGAAAATCGGTATAATACTAGGGCGTTTGTAGTCTAATTAAGCAGAAAGTATACCTTTTTCGAGGCAACCTCGTAAAGTATAGTTATAAAACTGTATGTGTATCTACTGTCGATTTGAATATTTTTAAAAGTAACTAACTATTGGATACACATTTAATTAACAGAAACGTTAAGTTTTTTAGGTGCCCCGTCACAAGCATTTGATCTCTCTGTGTGTTTCTCCACAACATGGTTACTATTGGTGAATCCGGTAAACTGTGAAACTTCCAAAAACAAGATAAGAAATTTTTGAAAAATGTGTGTCTTTCTAAGGTAGTGGTTATATTGGCATTCCACAAGCATTCGTGGACTTCACTTAGGAGACGAACGTAATGATCAAAGGAAAAAAAATTGCAATTGTGCATACAAAAAAAATTCATGGAAATACAGAATTGTCAGATACCTTGCACTTTCGATTAGGGTCCCTATTTTCAAACTTAACTGAAATGACTGGGACGAATGTTGTTTGCTTTTTCGTCTTAAGCTGGGAAAACGTATTGCTCCAAAAGAGGTAAAAAATGTGAATGAAGTTGGTCAAGGAGAAATTGTACCAAACGTGACCTCCACGTTTAAATTTTCTGTTCTGGGTGATTATTATTATTCTCCACCTTTAATTATATTCCCCAATACAGGACTATCAAAAGCCATAGTGTCAAAAGTGATAATGGACAGATAAAACCATTTGAAGTGCGCTTTTGGGTTTAAGCTAGGAAACTGTTCTGTCACGAATTTGGCACATGGTTTTAGCATAGTTCAGACATAGTTACTAATAGAGTGTACATATGTTCAAAGTTAATCTGTAAGTGACTACGAGTCATGATGAAACTATTCTAGTAGAAATACCGCATGATTAAATTTTGCTCGTATGTTTGGAAATTGTGAAAATTCTATAAGAGTAGGTACGTGTTTCTAAATAATAATGGACTGTAGTTTTGAAATTACCATCAAAGCAATAAAATAAAATAATTATCAACTTACCCTTTTGTCCATGCCTGGATCTCCTTCAAAGTAGGTATAGGGAAAGGTGGTAAGAGGGAAAAATGAGGGACAAGTTGACAATAGTATTTGAACGATGTATACTGACAGTTAAGGGCACAAATCACCCTGCTACGCACTGGTAATACCTTAAAACGTTACGTAAAATGAAAATTATTTTTAATACGAGCAAATAGCACGCACGCATCCGACTGTGTCTTTCTATATATTGGCTGGGTCTTTCCCAATGGTGTGTGTACTATCCTTTTGATATGAATTATTTTACATATGAACTAAACAGGTACGATTGTAAAGGGTGATCAAATAAAAGCTTCCCAAAGTTTTTTTGAAATAAAACGCATTAAATTCAATTTAATAATCAAAAATTGTATTTGATACGTAAGTTCGGTTCATGACATTTAATGTTTAAAGTAATTTGTTTTAAATGTTGACCGTGACTGACTCGTAGATGGTCCATTCTATGGGTCCAGTTTTCAAGCGCTCTTTCGAGCATTCATTAATTACACGTGTTATGTTCTCTTCTAATGCAGGAATAGTTTGTGGAAGCAAGTGATTTGAGATAATTCCATAAAAAGTAATCTAACAGCGTTTGATCACATGATCTTGGTGGCCAATTCACTGGTCCATTTCTGGATATGATGTTCTCATTAAAAGTTTCTTTCAATAAATCGATGATTTCGTGTGCTGTATGGCACGTCGCACCTGCTTGTTGAAACCATAAATCGGCTACATCAATATCGTGAATTTTTGGCAACAATTTTTTCATTGTGCGTTCAGTCGGACGATTATGAGCACCATAAAATGGTTGAAGAGCACGAAAAACATTTCTCACTGAACACTGATTTTGGAAATATATTTCCACGATTTGTAATCGTTGTTCTGATGTAAGTCTATTCATGGTGAAATGTCAACTAATAATGAACAAAAAACACATATGCACATGACAACTATCATGATTAAAGTGTTTTAAAATCCCTATTGGAAAAAGTACTTCGTATTTGATCACCCGTTACAATTGAGGACACCAGTGATGCACTGTGATAGTTATAACGATTAATTTCATGAAATACGACCGATACTTTAATAGTATATTAAGATACAAGTGTATAATCAAGTCTTTAAAGCACGCGCAACGAGTTTAAGGGCACGACGCAAAGCGGAGTGCCGTTAACGTTGCAAGTGCTTTAAAGACCAATTATACACGTGTATCTTATAGTATTTTTTCTTATACCTGCAGTATAATTTAAAAATAGGAAATACAATGAAGTCATATTGACGTTATACTCGAATACATGTCTAATTAAGTGGGCTGGGTGTTCGTATTTCACGATTGCCATGGAAATGTCACTTGACGTTTGCTTAAAAAATCATCGTCAATGTGAATTAAACGATTTCCGTTGAAAAAGATAATACACCGTCCATTAAATCGATTGTTGTAAAATCTAAACAAACGTTGGTAGGTGTAAAATCCAACTCCAGTAAGGCCTATTATAAGGAATATGAAAAGTTGTTTCCATGGATGAATAGGAAGTTACTTACGAATACAGTCTTAAATGCATGGATAATGCTGGCATATATGAAGGAAATGTCAAAGGTATTTAAATCTTCTATATTTTGGTGCATTCATTCAAAACTTCAAAGCAATACTGTGATTCAAAAGTGGAACAGATTTGGAAGCATACCCTAAATTACGCGCGTTTGTGAAAGCTTCAACCAAAGGATAGGTACAAAAGCCAAAGAAATGTTGTGATTCAGGTATAATAAAAAAGTTTTTATTATTAATATTGTTCGGGGGGTAAATTGAATTGGTAACGACTTAAAACTGCATCGTTTAAATAAATGCGACCCGCATATTGGAGAAAAGTTGAACGTAACAAAACTTAAGAGGTTAGTCTTAAGCGCGTCCGAAACTTTTATGTACGTTTTAAAACGATCTTATAACAAAGGTTTCGACCATTTCTCAGGATTTTTATCGTCGTCTAAACTTTCTTGTCCGATGAAATGAAATTCGTTACGGCTAGGGGTTCATGGAACTTACTGATTTGATATATTCATATCTCAACGGCATCAAACTCATTAATATTCATTTAGGAAGTTAACTTGTTGATTCGCCCAATACCTTTAACGTCGCAAGTAACGCTAACAGATTGTTATCTTAAGGTGAAATATGAGTTTACTTTAACTTGACTCTCAACTGTTGTATACTAAAGTGGTGTTTCTTTTACAGATAACTCGGATGTGTTAAAATCGAGTCCAAACAAGATAAGCGATTCTTCCAACTTCACCACGTTCGCAACAACACCTAAGCCTTTACCCACCTGGGCCGCCTTCATAAACAGCAACATCAATGTGTCCATGGAAATGTCCGTATTTAACTTCACACATCAAGCATTGGTATTGTACAATGCAGATGTGGAGCCAACAGAGAATATTTCAGACGTTGATGTTAATATTACCAAAAATATCTCCAGGTTGAACTCACCACTGGCCGTAACGATCGCTGTGCTTTTAGTGTTCCTATTTTCTCCTATGATCCTTATAGGAAATTCCTTAGTGCTAATAGCGATGTATAGATTTAAAAGGTTACGAACTCCAAGCAATTATTTAATTATGTCTTTGGCCACATCGGATTTGGGAGTTGGAATGTTCATGCCGATCGGAATGTACTTGGAAATAGGTGGTACAAATAACTTCACAAGTGCGCACGTATGTTTACTAAGTTACGGTATCGCGATAACTTTGTGCTGTGTTTCGGTACTTGTGATGGTAGCGATCGCCGTTGATCGCTTTACTTCGTTAGCGAGACCACTTCGGTACCCCAATCTTATCACGCATTCGGCTGTCGAACGATACATTGCCGTATTTTGGGCCTATTCGTCTTTAGTTGGATTCACACCTTTAGCATATGCACTAGTTAATGGAATTGCCGGAAATCATGGGTAAGTATGTACCTAACAAGGTTTTCGTTTTGGTTGAACTTAAAAATCGAACAGTAAGCGTAATGTGTTTGTATAAAATGAGTGAAACGAAATCATTAAACTACCACTAGTCAAGGTACACCATGTATGACCATGGTGGTTACAATTAATTGGAACTCCTTGTAGAAAGCGTCATAAGAAATAAGAAAAATTCGGAAATGAAATAAATTACAATTCATACCTTATTGAGGCCCTCGCAATTGCTTTTAGGAACGGATCTGAATTCGTACCAGCATCTCTAAACATTCAAAAATCGCCGAAAATCGTACTTCTTGTAACAGTGGCTCTCTATGGGATTAATTTATTTTTGCAAATTCTGGTAGGGATGACAGTTCAATTTTGCTAGGGGTGCGCATGGTTATACTCTTGTACAGGGACGTTAAATTGTAGAGTGGTAACTCCAAAGAAAAATAGTAAATTCAGATGTAGGTAACACTTATACATTGCCGCGTGTAAAAAAAATCAGTCACAATGTCCAACTGCTTTTTTTTCTGAAATTCCATTAATTTTTGTGTAAAATTTGGTGGAAAAAGGAAATTTGCAAAAAAAAGGCAAAATTGAGGTTTTTTTCTGGTGGGCCACTTTGACCCACCAAGCCACAAATGCACGGCAAGTCTACAACGGCCTCAGGAGGCTATCCCCCCCAACCGCTTGTTGTGCACGTTTTCTTTGTTTCTTCTACCATTATCGCCACTAGCCAGTTTTGCTGAGTTGCCGAGTGTGGCCAATGAAAAAATTGAAACGGTACCGACTAAAGTTGCACTAAATCTAGCAGCTAATATGCTTGGGAAAGGACGCACCCTTACTGTCTAAAACCACTACCCTTCCGTTAAGTTAGCACACAAGCTAATCTCTCAAAACACATACCTACTAGGTACACTGAGAAGTAATAGAAAAAACAACCCAAAGAACGTGTTGCAAAAAAAACTAAAAAAGGGGGAACAATATGCCGAAGCAAGTAATACCGGTATCTTCATAAAAAAGTGGAGGAATAAGAGAGAAATTTTGATGATCAACACAATGTTGGTTCCAGGAATGGTTAATGTTCCGGAAAGGTCTGGGGAGGTTGAAAAACCAAAATCTGTAGTGGAGTATAAGCACAAGAGCTACATAGATATCTCAGGTATGATCAACCCAACCTTTCAGTATTCCTTTTTTTACTTCTATTTTTCGATCTAGTTCGGTTGCTGGTACCGTTTGTAATATACTCCCAGCTTTTCTGCCGATCGGCGAAATAGCCGTTCGGCAGATTAACCGTTCGTGTTCAATAGGCTTTAGAGTAACTCTAACTGGTAGATTAAAATGAAAATCTAGTGACTTTAATAGTCATTTACATAAAAGTAGGCTTGAAAATGAAGGTTTCATGAAGATTTTGGGTAAAAATAGTTGGTGACCGATTGACATAATAACGAATAGCTGCATTACCGTTCATTTAGTAGGAGTTCTTTTAAAACAGAAAAGGCTTCGTTCCGTTACGAGCTCAAGTTCAATTTTCATGAGCTTACATCCATTTCCTAGAATTATAATTAGAGAGCAAGCCAGTATTTCCAAAGTTGGACGACTATAGGGTAGTTTAGACTACTTACAAATGAGGTTATGTATATTTTATATTCAATACAGAGCGTGTCTTTCAAGGAGTGTATTGATGAAATTTTCAATTTGGAACCCTAAAAATAGCGATATTCTTGAACCATTGGATTTCATTATTTTGCCTCTGTGTAATATTTTAAAAGATAAAATAAATAAAACCTTTTGCAAGGCGTGCGTCTTCGAGGGGTAGTCGACTTTGAGCGCGTAAAGGTTTCTTAGAGCTCTAATCGCGGTCTCTTTTTCTCGTATCGCCAATAAAAGCTCGAGCCATGCGAAGCACCCAAAAATTGAGTACTATTTTGTGGCGGGATTTAGCGAAATCCACCAAAATTCTAATTGCGGATGAACAGGACGTCGGAATTTGTTACCGGCAAAAGGAATGAACCCCCGACAAGATCTTACTGATGGTGGAGTCAAAACTTCAAACCTGATTTGCGGGTGAACGGGGCGTCGGAAGTGAGTAGCGACAAAGTGAATGTAGTTGCCCCCGACGAGATCTTGATGGTGGAGTGAAAACTGGCTAAATAGAATACTGATCTTCCGCACAAAATTGCGCTGAAGTTCCTTCGATTTCACACGAGGACGATAATTTTTTTTATAAATCGCGCTAATCTGGGGGTTGAATTTAAGGTGCCTCATTTTAGAACTTTTTAGAAATTGTTATCCTGATGCACTGCATCAGTATCATGGTACGAACGCAGTTGTCGAAACTTGCAAGACCCAAATTAAAGCTTAATCAATATAAAACCGCTTTATATCCGATTTGGTGTAATATGAACTTACGGGAAACAAACAAAAAAATGTCTAATCTGCCCCCTGACTAATAAAAACCGCTGTGGATATTACAACATTTCGAACAAGGGTAGATGTCGAACAATAAATCGTTAGAGTGGAGTGTCATTGAAACTTGAGATGGAATGTTTCAGAGAGGAAGCAACTGTCATTAATTTTGGAATGTTCCGTTTTAATCGTCAAACATTCTCAACATCATGTATGAGCCCACAAACTTGCTATTCACTTGATACGCTGTCGTATTTGTCCAAACTAGGCGCTATAATAATTAACTGTTTTCAGTTCAGATAAATGTTACCCAATGAATTCGCAATCAGCTCACATACCAATAAATTTTCGACGCGGTTATTTTTCTACGACACATTAATCAATTGCAATGGCATAAAAACTGTTACACCTACGCAGTATTGGAGTGGATTATTTTTAGCGATACGAAACTCATTGTGTTGTCATTATTGAGTAGCTGACGCCTTTTATCCGTATTAATTCCAATATATTTTGCTACTTTTTATCGGATAGGTTTTTGTGTCATTTGCTAACAGATGGAATCTCATGCATAATCATTCGAATTAAACAAAGTAGAGGGTGGTTGAACAGTAATGGCTTACAATTAAACACCGCGCCCGTGTACAGAAACACCATGCCATGTGAAAGTAAAGAAAATGTTGTCTAGTAAATTTTATATTAATTGGCATACTTACAACGTACCATTACACAAGTACTATTCCCAAGAGTGCGTGAATCGTAGTATCCCTAATTATGTGCTTGAGATGCTTTCCAGCTATTCATTCATCCAGTAGCACTCAATGAAGTAAGGCAAAAACCCCATTTCCGTATAGAATTAGTAATGCAAACAATTTAAGAGATTCGATAATGCAAATACCTGTAATTAAATATAAACTTACCGCAGAGCGTAGGTATTCGCTGTTAAATTTAAACCATTCAACTTTATTACCTACCCGGGGGAATTGTTTTTCTACGGTATTGGATAATTCCCACGTCTAGCTTCCCACACGTTGGTTCCTGCAGTAATTGTGTATTCATAGATTGCAACTAGGGTAATTTGTGATGCAGTTTCATTTTCCGTTTTACTTATATAGTTATTTATTTAAACCCGCAATCCGGTCTTTCTTTGATGAACGTCAGACACTTACTGTTCGATGAAATGCCTATGTGGTTCAAATTTGTTAAATTTATATAACTTCTTACAGACACGATGACTGTTCATTTGGAGGTTTAGTCGCGCGACCAGTACAATTGTTCATGTTTTGTGCTGTATATGGACCAAGCGCTCTAGTTCTTCTAGTTTGTTACGGATACGTCTACTTTGTTGCAAGAGGACACGCAAGAGCGATCTCTGAAGTGCGACATTCCCTTCACTATTCGTCCGGTGCAACCACCGGACCACCTAGATATGGGCTCGCGTTAGCAATAACTGCCGGCCTATTTCTAGCTCTATGGCTGCCATTTCAGGTAAGTTCTCATTTAACATAAATTTATAAGAAGAGAAAATACCCCAGTTTAATTTTGACACGTGCCGTAGGGATGTCACATGCTTTTATTTGGAGAGAAAATTGGGTCGAACCCGTGGTCCTCCGTTGATGTTATCATGCAATATTAAGGCGATGTGGGAATATTTTGACGAAGGGCTTGTTATAATTAAATGCTTTTAACATAAACTACCCCACACGGTAATTTAGAGGTAGAATTTACACGTGTATATTTAAAACCTTTTGTGGCACTTTGGTCTGAAACTGTTACGTTAGCGGCTAACCGGGTAAGCCATACGGTAATTTACATTCAATGTGCTCGCATCAATTAATGGTCTTTGGTTTAGTCTATACTGTAATACGTAATCAATGAAATGAATATGCAATAAACCAAATTCAATTCTAACTATAAGCTAGTGCACAATACCTACTATTTAACATTACTTCTAGTTTAAATACGAAATATTTTTCCTTTTTGAAATCATTCCTTTGTTGAGTGGAAAGTACCCGAGGCTTCACATTTGGTGTCTATGTTTCGCTTTATTCAAAATGCTGAATGCCAAATAGGGGCTAGAGATGACACCAAACGTGACTACGTGAGCAAAGACTGAAACATGATCCACAATCGCCCTAGCACCTTAATATTTTTTTACCGCGATAATTCTCAGGCTAGCTGTTTTTCACCGAAGCAAATATATAACGTAACATTTTCACAAATTGGACAACGACATTATTTCGTTTCACACAACTTGCCCGTACTTAAACTTGCATCCAAACTACTCGTAAGTACGTCTTTCAACTCGACATGAACAAGCATAGCAAATTTCACGTGAAAATATCAGCAGCCTCCTTAACTTGCTCCATTTATTTAAGCATTCATCACCTCCACTCCATTAACCGCATCGTAATTATTACAGGACGAAAAACAAACAGCCTACTTCGTCGCCAAATTCCTCATATGGATACGCTTATCATGCAGGTGTTATTTTACAACATCTGATCAATTAATTTGTCCGTTAATGGCTTTTACACAAGGATTTATCCAGATAAAACTCCTTTGCTAAGGCAATTTCAAATTCAATGTTTTCTTATTTATTCGTTCCCTGACACCCATTAAATACAATAACAATCCTTAAATGACATACACAAATTTTAAATTTAGAAAAAACCAACATCACAATGACCATTAAACAAAACCCTCAAATTCTGTGTCAATTTGACAGAGTTTCCCTGAGGTCATTGCATTGTGTAGGATATTCCGCCTGAAGCTTCTAATGCTAAACCTAAATTACGTTTACAGCACATAAATTTTCAACTACGGGGTGGCTCGCTCCCATCATCGGCATAATTTTAACGTAGAGGATCCCCCTGCAGTTTACGTAACAATATATTATTATGATCGTGATTTATGGACATAAAATCCGATGTACTGGAAGTAGTGGAACCCTTGTGGCCGTTGAATGTAATGCTGCTATTATCGCGAAGCGACAGATTATTAGACAGACGACACTTGTTTCTTGCTTCCCGTTTACACCCCGGTCAACCAGCGCTATGGTCTTCCCGCATATTTTCTTTCAGTAACCAAGCGACATAATCCATTGTTTGTTTCGCTGTTTTACATATCGGTGGACGTATACTGTGAATTCTCTGAAGTTGAGTACAACAATGCATGGCAGCTCTAATGCCAGCTACAGAGTTTTGCAAATTTTTCCTGGTATAATTAACTCATTTTTCTAAGACATTCAGGAGGAGATATTACTTTGGTTTGTCTTTCTCTGTTCAATAAAACCATCTTATTCATGAAACAGAGTAAAGCAAGTGCAAGTGATGCGGTTTCTTTCAAAAGCTAATACAAAATCTTGAAGAAAGGGGAGAACGTTTTTATTCCTTTCGGGGCAAAAAAGTCTTACAACGAATGAAAGAATTAGGAGAGGGTAATCGTCAAAACTTTGATACTACATTTTTTAGTTTCTATTACCGCTCTATTACTTACTTAAATCTATGGAACAGTCTGGAAGATGCTCAATTTTTTTCTTTGGTCAATGGAAAATTGTATGCGTCTAGTGAGAAAATAAATGAAAAAATAGACCGACAATGTATAAACGAAGACGAGCTTTTTAATGAAGTCGTGTTGGTAAAAGTTTTGGCAAGCTAAACATAAGGAATAGAAAAAAAAAGAAAAAAAAGGTGCAAAGAGCTCAAGTGAAAAGAAGTAGGTTAAATCTTTTAATGAAATGAAGAAAAAAGCTATTAGCGTTCCAAATCTGCAAGTGATGTTGGAAGACATTTTTAGTCATTCAGGAACATCAGCTTTGGTTTTTTGCACAAACCGTAAATGGACTAATGGTGGTCAAAATAGTTTTGTTTCCATTTTTTCTGCAATATTAAAGAAAACTGTTATTTAAAAAGTAACAAAAACACAGTAAAGAAAACTAGTTGACTAGTTATTGCAATTATCTTTGGTCGTAGTATAACATTTAAAAATGCCCTCTAGCACCTTTATTTTGAACCTGACGCAAAAAGTGTGGACGCCTTTTTTGTAGATTTCAACAAGACACATCTTTTTTATAATTAACATTTTTCACTCTGATGCTTTCTTTTAGAAAAAATGCAAATTAAAAAAATAAAATAGAGATTTTAACTTTCAATTCAAAACTTCTCAAAAACAAAGGAACTCACACAAAAATTGTAATCAACTTTTTTGTAGCGTTTTTAAGCCATTTTGGGTAGCCAATTCGAAACAAATTTTTAAAAAAATTTTCAACCGTTTTAAACCTTTGACACCTTCAACAACCATGAAGATGGTTACGATTCAAAACCAAAATTACAATTTTCCATACCACCATATAGGTACATCCATGGAGTATCACAGTAATTTTCTTTTGAAGGTAAATTCCCTCGAGCTACAGTCGGAATACAATACCATCATGGGATTGCAGTTACTGAATTATTAGTACGTAAATTATTGTGTGTTACATTTCTTTAAAGTAGACAGTGGTAATATTTTGAAAGTGTAATTAAAATAATGTCAAATCGTACACGAAACCGTTTTGAGGATAGGCACGGGAGAACAAAACTAGCATTGAACGCACGGGTGTGACTGTGAAATGGTGTGCGGTAAATTCGCCCCGGTACATTCGCCCCCGTAGCATTCGCCCCATAACATTTATTAACACTTGGAAGTAATAGGTTGGTTTAAATTAATTAAATAAATATTTGCAAAAATTACGATATTTGGAAACTCAATACGGTGAGACTGACAACTCAAAATTGTTCATATTCAATCGTCTCTCACCTGTTAAAGGCTGATTCAACGGTTCAACGTCAACCGTATGTTTACAATACATTTTACAACAAATTGCGTTTACAAAGGAGTCTAATTACTCAGCCATTTATGGATGTATTGAAATGTTTTTGGCATCAATGTATTGAAAATTGGTCCAGATTTGATGTAAATTTGTGTTGAAAAAATGTTGAATGTTGACCATTTACCAAAAATTTAGACCTTAAAAAGACAATGAATTTAGTATATACTTCGTGTCCTACTATTATGTATGAAAATGACAATACAGACACGTTTTTATTACTGATGCCATAAGAGTTCCTTTTTTGCTGTTGTCAGTTTGATTTTCAGATTTTTGTATTACGAAAGGTGAAATATTGTGTTTGATTTACAATAAAATAAACTCTTCGTCTATTAGGATTGCAATATTTAAAATCTTAGAAAATAGTGCACAAAATTCTTTTTTTTAAGTAAATCTAACTACTTAATTAAAAAATAATACAAAACTTACCAGCACCACGTGAAACCGATCTTCTTCAATACTCAAAACTATTTTTTCACACGGGTTTATACCAAACTCAAAATCCGTGTTCAAGCCAAGTATTGATCCGAAAGTTAAAAAAAGGCCGTAGAATCGTTAACCAAAAATCAAAGTTCGTGTTCGCGCCAAAATATAACAAGTAGGAACATTGTGAATATAGGATTTATTTCCTTTGGATGTCAAATCCTTTGCAAATCACCCTTACTTTATTCAACCTTATCTTAATTACCTATTCATATTTTAGTTAACAGGTATTTGAGTGCTATTATTCTACCCCCTTTATGTAGGTATACACAGTCATTACAAAAAATTAAAATTATGAATTTTATGAACTGCTGGCCCTGTAACCTTCGAGGATTAATAAATCTTATGGGGCGAATCCTACGGGAGCGGAATCGCCGGGGGCGAATCTTCCAGGAGCGAATTTGTCGGGGACGAACTTGCCGGGGGCGAATTTTCCGGTGCGAATCTTTCTGGAGCGAATCTTACGGAGGCGAATAGTCCAGGGGCGAATTTACTTGGGGGCGAGTTTTCTTGGGGGCGAATTTACCGGGGCGAATTTTCTGTGAAATATATAAAAAATTGCAATTAACAAGGAGAACAAAATGTTTTCTAAAATACTGGTTAATGCGGCAGTATTGTAATGGACCATAGTGGTGCTTATTTCAAAAATGGTCGTGACAGTCCTTAAATAAATTGATTTATAAGAGTTAATTATTATTTAGCACTTACTTGCACTCACATTTATAATACATAAATTTATAACAGATGTATAGCGTGCATTTCGTTATTAACAAAAAGCTTCTAGAGAATTCTTGAATAAGCATATAATAATTTATGGAAAGAAAGGGTCACATCCGCTTTCATTCTATATCGCCGATGACTAATCCTTTATCGACTTGTGAGCGACTTGATAGCACCTTGTCATCGCTCTAGAAAATTAGCTACAATATCCTATTATTGTATAATTTTTAGGGAGCATCGATTTATGGCACTTGGAGGGTTTGCATGTATAGGTATATACAGTGTGTAAAGCGATGGGGTATACAAGAGGGAATTTTTTGTTAAATATTGATTTATGAAAAAAATTTATTCTTCATCATATTTTTTGCTTGCTTTGAAAGTACCAATAACGTTTCGATAATCTAAAATTTATTTA